CGGTGTGTTGGTGCTTCACTGTAAGCACACTGCTCTGGATGGTAGTTCTGTGCACAGCCATCCAGAGCAGTGTGCCCAAGCCGACAGAGAAGAGGACTGTTGGTAAACAAAGCAGTCCTCCTCCCCGTCGGATATGCTTGGTAATCACCGGCCGGTATCCAGTGATTGACGGCCGTGAATGACAGCGCGGGTAGAGCACGCACACCCACCCCTACCCAGAAATACAAAAAAAAATCACATGTATGTATACAGTTGTGTTCAAAATAATAGCAGTCCGACATCACTAACCTGATCAATCACTGTTTTTGGTAGAAATGATATTTCTACATGGCAAATAATTTACTAGCAGGTGTAGTAGAGTAATAGAAATCCAACAGACCCAACAGTCATGACATGCATGCTGCTGATTCTGTGTAATTGAATCACTAATTGAAAGGGGCATGTTCAAAATAATAGCAGTGTGGAGTTCTATTAGTGAGGTCATTCATTCTTTGAAAAACAGGTGGCAATTATTGCTTCATGATATGGGGATGTTTCTCATACTACGGTGTTGGGCCTATTTATCGCATACCAGGGATCATGGATCAGTTTGAATACATCAGAATACTTGAAGAGGTCATGCTGCCTTATGCTGAAGAGGAAATGCCCTTGAAATGGGTGTTCCAACAAGACAACGACCCCAAACACACCAGTAAACGTGCAACATCTTGGTTCCAGACCAACAAGATTGACGTTATGGAGTGGCCAGCCCAATCCCCGGATCTTAATCCAATAGAAAACTTGTGGGGTGACATCAAAAATGCAGTTTCTGAAGCAAAACCAAGAAATAGAGAAGAACTGTGGAATGTAGTCCAATCATCCTGGGCTGGAATACCTGTTCACAGGTGCCAGAAGTTGGTTGACTCCATGCAACACAGATGTACAGCAGTTCTCAGAAACAGTGCTTATACAACTAAATATTAATTAAATGGGATTCAAAGGAAAGCAAAATCTTCAAACATTTTTCAGTTTATATAGTGAATGTTTGAGTTTGTAAAGAAGAATACAAACACTGCTATTTTTTTGAACAGTCTAATATTCACTTTTCTTCATATTTGTTAGAGGAACAACACAAATTTGATATATTTTTCTTAAAGTTTTGATTGGGAATAGAATGTGTAGTGTTCCCAATGCATTTGTGTGTATGGAAATAAAAGCTATTGGAAGGATTTTGAGCTTTGTTCACTTTTTTCAACACACTGCTATTATTTTGAACACAACTGTACGTGATTTTGCGCACCCCTGCCGCCCTGTAGCAGTATATCTGCTATAGGGCGATCGAGATATGGTTAAAATAGTATGTCATTCTACCAGTCACAAGGCTAGAAAAACAACCCTTGAAGCCTAACTTCCATTATCATAGTATTACTACTTACCTGGAAGGCTATACATGATAGTCCAATTTACCTGTCTGTAAGTTGAATTTACTTACAAGAGCAGAGATGTCACCATTTTACACTACTCTTTCAAGAATAACCTTAAGAACATAGGATTTTTTATTACCTTCAGGGACACTGAACAGCTTACAAACTCTTGTCTCTGCCAAGTCTTTCTGTATATTTTAAAACTGGCCATCCATTTCTCTATCCACACAAATAAAGTGGAGATGGAGTGATACCCCCCTCCGGGACATTGCATTCTGACAGCGGGACATGTCTCTTTCAGAATGCACTGATCAGCAGCTGCTGATCAAGAAACGTTTTCCAGCATTCCTTGGACAGAAGTCAATCAAAAAATTGCAGGGATGGTCACACACTGATGGAAATTTGGCCGTTCCCCGCTGAACCAGCCGAATTTTGATTAGTGTATGGTGGGCTTACAAGATACCAAACATGGAGGCTGTCATTGCTAACCTCTCTTTTTGAAGATGCTAGCTGCCTTGTTCTCTGTCTATCATTGAGTCACTCATCCAGAGCAAGTACACAGATGAGGACTTTAGACATCCCTGATTTGCATATTTGTTCCAGGCCAGTGGGTAAATTCTGAAGCCAAAGGTCAACAGAACTACTAGGATACTAGTTTTTTCAGGAAGTGGTCAATAGAGAAGAACAACATATATTTTGTCTTTTCTTTTTTCAATAGAAAGTTTATCTTAAGTTGTATACAACTTAAAGTGTGGCGCTCCTCTTCTCCATCTTAATATTCCGTGTGTGTGTGTGTGTGTGTGTGTGTATATATATATATATATATATATATATATATATATATATATATATATATATATATATATATGTGTGTATGTGAAACTCGAAAAATTAGAATATCGTGCAAAAGTTCATTTATTTCAGTAATGCAACTTAAAAGGTGAAACTAAATATGAGAGAGACTCATTACATGCAAAGCAAGATAGTTCAAGCCGTGATTTGTCATAATTGTGATGATTATGGCTTACAGCTCATGAATACCCCAAATCCACAATCACAGAAAATGACAATATTGTGAAAAGGTGCAATATTCTAGGCTCAAAGTGTCCAACTCTAATCAGCTAATTAAGCCATAACACCTACAAAGGGTTCCTGAGCCTTTAAATGGTCTCTCTGTCTGGTTCAGTAGGAATCACAATCATCTGAAAGACTGCTGACCTGACAGTTGTGCAGAAAACCATCATTGACACCCTCCATAAGGAGGGAAAGCCTCAAAAGGTAATTGCAAAAGATGTTGGATGTTTCCAAAGTGCTGTATAAAAGCACATTAATAGAAAGGTATGTGGAAGGGAAAAGTGTAGAGGAAGAAGGTGCACAAGCAGCAGGGATGACCGCAGCCTGCAGAGGATTGTCAGGAAAAGGCCATTCAAAAGTGTTGGGGACTTTCACAAGGAGTGGACTGAGGCTGGAGTCAGTGCATCAAGAGCCACCACACACAGACAGATCCTGGACATGGGCTTCAAATGTCGTATTCCTCTTGTCAAGCCGCTCCTGAACAACAAACAATGTCAGAAGCGTCTTACCTAGGCTAAAGAAAAACAGACCTGGTCTGCTGCTCAGTGGTCCAAATTTCTCTTTTCTGATGAGAGCAACTTTGGTTGCTCTCATCAGAGCAACATCTCATTTGGAAACCAAGGACCCAGGATATGGAGGAAGAATGGAGAGACACACACTGCAAGATGCTTGAAGTCCAGTGTGAAGGTTCCACAGTCTGTGTTGATTTGGGGAGCCATGTCATCTGCTGGTGTTGGTCCACTGTGCTTCATTAAGTCCAGGGTCAACGCAGCCATCTACCAGGAGATTTTGGAGCACTTCATGCTTCCTTCCGCAGACAAGCTTTATGGGGATGCTGACTTCATTTTCCAGCAGGACTTGGCACCTGCCCACACTGCCAAAAGAACCAAAACCTGGTTCAATGACCGTGGGATTACTGTGCTTGATTGGACAGCAAACTCGCCTAACCTGAACCCCATAGAGAATCTATGGGGCATTGCCAAGAGAAAGATGAGAGACATGAGACCAAACAATGCAGAAGAGCTGAAGGCCGCTATTGAAGCATCCTGGTCTTCCATAACACCTCAGCAGTGCCACAGGCTGATAGCTTCCATGCCAAACCACATTGAGGTAGTAATTGCTGCAAAAGGAGCCCAAACCAAGTACTGAGTACATATGCATGCTTATACTTTTCAGAGGTCCGATATTGTTCTATGTACAATCCTTGTTTTATTGATTGCATATAATCTAATTTTCTGAGATTGTGGATTTGGGGTTTTCATGAGCTGTAAGCCATAATCATCACAATTATGACAAATCACGGCTTGAACTATCTTGCTTTGCATGTAATGAGTCTACCTCATATATTAGTTTCACCTTTTAAGTTGCATTGCTGAAATAAATGAACTTTTGCACGATATTCTAATTTTTTTTTGATTTTCCCCTGTATACAGTGTTCCCAAGTGATATGTGCTAGTACATATGCCGTTCAGTTATGTCAGTGTGAACTTAAAACAAAAATCTCACATAAATTAAACACTACATCTATATAATGCTTTGTGCTAAGTATTATTACACCACTACAGTTTTTTTAAATTGCCAGCAGTGCAGGAACGTATGCAGCCACAATCCAATCCCATTGATATGACACTCTTAATGCCAAAGTTTAGCTAAGAACAGAAACAGACAAATCAGCACAAGAGACATAACGTAGTTAGTATGATGTGTCCCTTGTGTTGGTTCTTCTATTTTTTACAAGCAATCTTCATCTTCCCTATCTTCTGACTTTTTTTTTTTTTTTTTTGCCATTCTCCTTTGATCAGTCGAAGGATGATGGTGCAGGAGGAGGCAAACAGCCACCTACTAAGGGAATTTCAGCCAGTTCCTGATAAACTATGAACCGTGCATGGCCAGCTTTAGTTTTTCATGGTTCTGGTCTGAGTGCGGGCTGCTGGCAGTAGGGGGTTTAAATAAATTGTGATTATGCCTATTATTGCATGCAGTACACCTCTTTACTTGACCATGAAATACAATTTGGACAGCCTTTCCTATACTTAAAGCAGAACAAAAGTCTGCAAATACTCGTTCACTCACTGGCTCCTGACATATTCCCTTCGGCTGCTTCCTCTGGGTGCCAAGCCTTCAGCCGCCTTGATTAGTCATCAGGGAGTGACATAACTTTCATTCATGTTGCAGCACCAAGGTATGCAGAGAATGACAACTGAGCAGCATGAGCACAGCTCAGTGTACATACTGAAGATCGTGAACAGGCAGGTAAATTTGTTCCATTGTAGAAGAGACATAGCCTTTTTCTTCTGCAATAAAGAGCCTGCCTGCTCATGTTTTCTTCACTTTAGTTCCACTTTAAGTGTCTGAGGACCTTATCTTATGTCCAGCTCTGTAAAGGGAGACTCTTCTAGATAGAATGGATATGATCTGGAAACAAACTGTAATAATGCTTGTATGTAGAAATGAAGAATCATTGACCGGCCTCTTTTTATGTTCATTAAACTTATCATTCCTTATTGTTTTGTTACCGTTCAGTGGCGAATGGAAAGTGTTCTCTGGAAATGAGTTGGGTTCTCTGCTAGGCTGGTGGATTTTCACTTGCTGGAAGGAGCAGAACCCAGACCCGAGTGCAGTGAAAAATGTCTACATGCTAGCAAGTACAGTCTCCTCAAAGATCCTCCGGGCAATCGCTTTGCATGAAGGTTTCCATTTTGAGGTACTATTTCTGTATTCCATTCTTTCTATCCTATGTGCGTGCCAACATGTTATAATTTATTCCCAGACCCTTTTTTTTGCTTTGTAGGAGACACTGACCGGATTCAAATGGATGGGAAATAGGGCAAAAGAACTCATTGATCAAGGAAAGACTGTACTATTTGCCTTTGAGGAGGCGATAGGTTGGTTTACATATCCAGAATATGGATTCATTGTACATACTGAACTATTACTTTGCTTTGTTGATCTCTGTGTTTTCTTCCTAATGATTAAAAGTTATTGTAAATCTGATTGCAGGATACATGTGCTGCCCTTTTGTCTTGGACAAAGATGGAGTAAGTGCTGCTGTCATTGCTGCAGAAATGGCCAGCTATCTGGCAACAAAGAACCTCACCTTGTCACAACAGCTGAATGCCATTTTCAAAAAGTATGTTCTTTGTTATTCCAAAGATCATGATATAATATTTTGAAAGTAGAATTGGACATTTAAGTGCTTTTTAAATTCAGCCCCTTAAGAGCTTGTTCATACGGCTATAGTATCCAAAGTACATAGGATCTTGTGGGCAGAAAGCTTCTACAGATTTGTTGTACACCTGTAATGTTTGCGTAGCATTTACATGCCGGCAGCATACTAGGGCCTCATTGGCTGTCGCTGCTGCTCCTGGTCAACATGTCAATAACAATAATTTGCAATAATTCATGGTTGATTATCCAAGTTTGTTCTGTGCATGCACCACTGGCACATCATTGACCCATTCAGTTTGACAGTATGTAATCAGCATTGTGTGCATTACACACACATTGTTATTGGTATGTTAGGAGCAGCTGCAGCAGTCAGTAGGGTCCTCCTACTACTGTACACATCTAAACAGTGGTGTGAATATGTATATGCATGCAGTGTTAATAATGGCTCCCGGCAGAGTTGTCTCTCCTTTCTTTTTCTTCTCTTAAATTGTTTTACGCATCCCATAGACTAGTGCAAAGACGCGTATAAAACTGTACACTGTACGTAGAATATGGTACAACAGAGTGAATGAGCCTTTAACCTGAACCTTTTAACAGTAAACGGATAGACTTCATCAGTCCCTTGTATCAGTCAGTGCTTTGTTGCTTTTAGTTATTGCTGTTTTATTGAACCACTGTTCTTGGTCATATCCAATGTTCATACAGTAAACATTTAAAACCTGGAAACTATGCTACTTTTTTATTACCCAAGTATACAAATATGTCTATAAAATCAAAGTGCAGCGCTAAAATTGAAATAAACTTATGTCCATTAAATTGGATATGCATGAATAAAATGAAGATAAATTGTTCATAAAATGACAGTCCGTGCTAAGGTGTCAATCACAGTTTAGTGATTTCAATATTCAGTGATGTGTTCAAAGATGTGGTAAGAATACGCACTCACCAGATGTGTATTGTAAATACGCATGTAATATATGTAATCAGAGGTCCCCTTTAAGGATAGATGAGGTAAGCCAGGTATGGAATATCCTCCCTCTGGATGGTATACAGCACAGCGGGTAATTCCTGGGTGATAAAGAAATTTATTCTGCCAGAGGTCCCCTTTAAGGATGGATGGTTGTTTGCAGCTTGGGATGGAAACTCCCTCCTCTGGATCCTCTGTGGTGAACTACAGCTATCTCCCGGGATAGGGCTCTGTAAATCAATTAACTCTTCCCTGGTATTAGTCTCCCAGGAGTCCTTGCTGTACAGTTTGGATCTCCTCTTCCTCAAGCAAGGTCTCCCGGGGGACTAATACCGGGGAGGGCTAATTGATTTACAGAGCCCTATCCCGGGAGATAGCTGTAGTTCACCACAGGATCCAGGGGAGGGAGTTTCCATCCCAGGCTGCAAACACCCATCCATCCTTAAACGGGACCTCTGGCAGGATGAATTCCTTTATCACCCAGGAATTACCCGCTGTGCTGTATACCATCCAGAGGGAGGATATTCCATTCCTGGCTTACCTCATCTATCCGTAAAGGGGACCTCTGATTACATATATTACATGCGTATTTACAATACGCATCTGGTGAGTGCGTATTCTTACCACATCTTTGAGCACATCACTGAATATTGAAACACTCACAACTGTGATTGACACCTTAGCACGGACTGTCACTTTATGAACAATTTATCTTCATTTTATTCATGCATATCCAATTTAATCGTCATACGTTTATTTCAATTTTAGCGCTGCACTTTGATTTTATATGTTTACTGAGGTTTTATCTAATTACCTTTTTAGTGCAATAGCAGCTTCATTTGAGCGCTCACTGATTTCCATTTTTTATACAAATATATCTATCATATTTAAGACCTGAAGCTGGGGAGATCTCTGAACCACTTGAAACACGCTGGCTGTTCTGAGTTGTCTGTTTTGCGGACAAATATCAATATTAAAATATTTTTGGACTCTCAGACCGCCTGGTTGGTGCTCTCATTGGTCATTAAATTACACTTGATGTACGTGTTCCAACTTACATACAAATTCAGCTTAAGAACAAACCTACAGAACCTATCTTGTACGTAACCAAGGGACTGCCTGTATGTACATATTCTTAGGAAGTAAAAGTGTTTTTCAAAAGAAAAGAAAATACTTTTCCTAACCACATTTTCAGCAGTTAATTTTCATAGTATCTTGCATATTCTTAGAATTTACAACTTTGATTCACCCTTGGCAGGTATGGATATCACATTAGCAGGAATTCATATTTCCTATGCTATGATCAGACTACAATCAAGAATCTTTTTGATAACCTGAGAAACTACGATGGAGACTCTTGTTACCCTAAGCTCTGCGGTAAATTTCAGGTTACAGGAGTGCGGGACTTGACCACCGGATTTGACAACAACCAGCCAGATAACAAAGCTGTGAGTCTTAAACTATTATAAAGCACATGGAACTTATTTAACACAGCCCACTCTGTATTCCGGTCAGTACCATTATCTTAGGAAAAACCTTGTCATGCATTTGACATGTGTAATGATTGGACACAAGCACTCTTAAATGCCAAGTTTTTTCCTATAATAATAGACCTAGTTTTGGGGTATATTAATTTTCAGAGGGGTATAAACCAGTGCTGGTATATTTTATGTGTGGAGGAGTCAGTGGCAAAAACAAGTGTAAAAGAAATCGTGTCTTCCACTTGACCCCTGACATTAACCGCTTCTCAACCGCCCTATAGCAGAAGTACTGCTACAGGACTTCAGGGATGTGTAAAATCATGTATATATACGTGATTTGCATTTCATGGTAGGGGGCACATGCTCCCTACCCACGCTGCTATTGGCTCCTTGACATATCAATTACTTGGTCCTGGCCGTCGATTCTCGACAAGGACTCAGTCATCATCAGTTCCCTCCTAGTGTCAGAATGCCCGCCGCAGTCCCGCAATAAGTTGCTGATTGCCACCATTACTAGTAAAAAATACAAATAATAATTCCACTATATATACTGCCATTTGTAGATGCTATAACTTTCACGTAAACCAATTTTACATGTATTGTGATTTTTTTTCTTCTAGCAAAGACATGTAGCAGAATACATTTTGGCCTAAATTTATGAAAAAATTTTATTTTTAAAATTTTTTTTTTACTGGATGTTTTATAGCAAAAAGTCAAATACAGGTTTTTTTTTTTTTTCAAAATTGTTGGTCTTTTTTTTGTTTATAGCACAAAAAAATTGAAAACCACAGAGGTGATCAAATACCACCAAAAGAAAGCTCTATTTGTGGGGGAAAATTACATAAATTTTATTTATGTACAGCATTGCATGACTGCGCAATTGTCAGTTAAAGTAACGCTGTGCCGTATCGCAAAAAATGGCCCGTTCAGGAAGCGGGGTAAATCCTTTGGAGGGCAAGTGGTTAATCTTATCCTTAACCCTCCCCCTACCCAAGCCCAATACACCCTCCCCCTACCCAAGCCCAATACACCCTCCCCCCTAACATTTAGTCTTAAAGTGATTGTAAAGGTTTTATTTTTTTTTATTTTTTTGTAAAATAACAAACGTACCTGCTGTGTGCAGTGGTTTTGCACAAAGCAGCCTGCATCCTCCTCTTCTCGGGTTCCCCGCAGGCTCTCCTGGCTCCTCCTGTCTGTCGGGTGCCCCCACAGCAAGAAGATTGCTATGGGGGCACCCGCTGCTCCGTGTGCCTATTCACACATGGAATGGCGGCTTGTCCCCACCCCCTTTCTCCCCCTATTGAATGACTGACTGTGATTGACAGCAGCTGTCTCAGCCAATTAGGGGGCAGAAACACAGGACAGCCGAGGCTGTCATTCACATTGCTGGATCGTGATGAGGCTCAGGTAAGTATTGAGGGGGCTGGGGCACTGCTGCACACAGAAAGTTTTTTTACCTTCGTGCATAGAGTGCATGAAGGTAAAAAAATCTTCAGCCTCTACAACCACTTTAAGCTTACCTTTACCTAAACTCAGTGATTCTCAGACTTTTATCCCGAACCCCACCCTTTTTTTTTTCACCCCTGCTCATCTCCCATTCTCCTGTGCAAAACTACACTTGTCTACACTTGTCTCCCAGTTAAAATTTGTTTAAAAATGGTGCTGTTCACTTTTTTTTTTCTCTTTGAATTTGTTTTATCCACTTTTCAGTTTCAATAAAAAATTAAACCGTTCACTGTAAAATGTTTTAAAAGTGATTTAGGTTACCTAAAAAAAAAAAACTTAGTATTTAGCAAATGCCATATAGCCCCATTCCTGTTGAAAAGTGCTTTCAAGAGCCCTGAACTCAAATAGTCTATAGCTGCAGACACCTTTGGTAAGCTTTTACGCCCCTTAGTTCTGCACTAAATGAGACTTCCCCCCCCCTATCAGATCACTATAGGAAGATAAATGTGTTCTTATAGTAATACTTGGCCGCTCATTCATGCTACTTGCAGCAGAATGCACCCATCTCCTTCACAGTGCCACTGGGTGCTCCCAAGTTTAAGAAACCCTGCCTAACCTTAAGAAATGAACGTTTAAAGTGGATCTTCACCTTAAAGGGGAAGTTTTGCGCTATGTCCTCCTCCTCCCTCCTCCTCTTCTGTTTTTGACACTTTTTTTTTTTTTTTTGGACCTGGTTTTGACAAATATCTGCCCCCACTTCTGGTTAGATCGCCACGGCTTCAAGTGAGTATGGTGCTGAACCCCTGAACAGGTGAGTGTCTTTTTATTAAAAGTCAGCAGCTGCAGTATGTGTAGCTGCTGACTTTTATTAGTATTTTGGCTAAAGAACTACTTGGATTCTAAAACACACCATGTTTCCCCCCCAAACCCCCAATACAGCATTATATTGCTGACTACATTGCATGACCATTTATCCAAATGTTGACAGCTGGGCCTGTGAACTTTTTCATTCATTCCTATAGATCTTTAAAAGTTTGAGCTTGTACTCGGAAGCTCCATGGAATTGAATGGCTGTAGAGAGATGAATGATGTTGCAGAGTGCATGTGCTGACCCAGCTAGAAATTCTTGACAAGCAGCTGTGTAATCAAGTCAGTGATATCATACTGCAAGGAGGATATGCAAGAAGAGGACTGCAAGGGGTCCTGAGGAGGGGGATTTGGGGGTAAAAAGTTATAAGTTTAGCTGTAGTTACACTTTTAAACCCTGTAAGTCAGAATTTGACCTTATATAAACTTTTTGTGTTGTATGTACTGTATGTTTTTAATTACAGGCATGAGCTATAAACATATTGCCTACTCTGTCTCTTCTATTCCCTCCTGCAGATACTCCCAACCAGTAAAAGCAGCCAAATGATCACTTTCACCTTCGCTAATGGGGGAGTGGCCACAATGAGAACCAGTGGTACTGAGCCAAAAATTAAATACTATGCTGAACTGTGTGCAGCGCCAGGAAATAGGTATGGCGGGAGCACTTACTGGGATACCTGAGGATTGTTTGATCACAATAACTGGCATAGTTTTCTAGTAAAAATAGGCTATTTTAAAACAAACCTATACAATATAAATTTTTTTTTAATATACCATGTACTTATTTTAAAATACAAACCGCATCTTAAGACATGTTAGCGCTTTCATGTTGTTAACGTATGGAAAATCCAGGCTCTTCAGACAGTTGACAACATAAGAGACAACATACTAAGAGAAATTGCCGCTCAACCCAATCCAGTCTATATGGCTCACATATTTTTTTCACAACAAATATACACTGTACACTTTCATTATTTCACTTATTTGTTTTGTATAGTGTCATCACTTTACTACTTTTCTTAGTCGATCACTATTTCATCTTTATCCTCAACTTTTAAAAAAAATTCACTTTTCAGCAAACATCATCCTTTTAAATTTTACCAAACAATTGGGTATTATTTTGTGTTTTGTGCATTAAAAAAATAAAGTATTTTTTGCAAAAAAAATTGCATTTGAAAAACTGCTATGCTAGTACTGTGTGACATAAAAAAAAATTTCAACACCCACCAATTTATTCTTTAAGGCCTCTGCTTTAAAAAAATATATAATGTTTTGGGTTCTATGAAATTTTCTAGCAAAAAATACTGATTTTTACATGTTAATGAAAAGTGTCAGAAAAGGCCTAGTTTTAAAGTGGATAATAAACAGTGTTAGGAGCAAAGCAGTAACTCTTTATGCAGCAACCAATGAGAATCAAATCTGCTGGAAAAAGAGCAGTAGAAGATTACTTCTGGTTCCAGCTAACAAGTGAAACCAATCAGTAAGCTAGTGATACTAATGTAAATGTCTGTCTCCGTGAAGCAAAATTCACACAAATGTAGAGTCCTGAAATAAAAGTGGGCATAACAGTTAAACCCCCATGTGTTTTTGTTTTCACAGTGACTATGATCAGTTGAAGAAAGTACTAGATGACCTTGCGGATTCCATAGAAGAGCATTTCTTTCAGCCAGAAAGAAATAAGTTGCAGCCAAAAGCAGATTAATGGCTTCATTTGACAGGATGGTGCCTTCAGAGGTTGCAGGAGTATTTTTCAGCCTGAATACACAAAGCCTAATACTTGTTTAGGAAAAAAAAAAAATCTGATTTATTTTTAGGTACATTGAGAAATACAACCAAACTAAAACACCAGTGCCACTGCACCAACAAAACCTTCCTGTTTGGAAATTGTTATAGCAGCTTTCGGTCCCAGTAGCAGTATTGTGGCCAGTATACATTATATTGCATTCCATGAGCTGATTAATTTTTATATCTATTTATTTTTAAAGAAATTCTGTAGAGTACAAGATATAAGCAGGGCCAGATTTCTGCACAGTCAACATAGGCCATGGCTAAGGACAGCAGGGCTGCCATGGATGACACAGTTATCTACATCAGTAATACTTTCCCGTGGGTAGTAACAGGTACTGGACTACTGACCTGCCTTCCAGAGCAATCCACCTGGGTCCTCTTTGGCAGTCTGTACACAGTTTGTGCATTTTCCTTGGTGCAATGATTACTGTGTGTTTACAGTTTATTTACTTACTCTGGGTCTGTATATCTAGAACAAATCTGCTGAGTGACAGTATGCCTGTTCCTCTGGTGGACAGTTCAAGGTTTACTATTGCAAAGTGCACAAGCTATCTCCTTAGCCTTTCTGTCCCAGCCTTGGCTCGCCTTGTCCAGCTATGACTTATGATCTAATATGAAATGAAGACTAGACCGTTTACTAGGAAAAGAATGGGCAGTACAAGATAGTTGGCTTACTGGGCCAAGAAGGTTGAATTTAGCCTTGGTCACAAGATAGATATTATGTACTTCTCTGTAGCTATAAATGCATTTGACTGTGGTGCATTGCTACAAAACACTGTTTTAGTGTACTTCATACTAACAATGAAAAACAAATATAAGCTACAACTATAGCTCCCCTATATACTACAGAAAGTTTTTGTCTCACAAGTAAGAGAGCTACAATATCC